CTAACAACAATGCCAAGGCAACGTAAGCATCACAACATGATGCAATGTAAACAACATTCACATAACATGCTTGCGAGTGGACTTAAACAAAATGGATAGACCTCAGCAATGCCCAAATCAGTGGCCATGGTGTGACCAAGGCACAAAGCATATACATGCAAAGCATGCACATTGCATTGGCACCACGCAACTAGTCTAAGAGCACAACTCTCAGAGTGCTCGGAGTGAACAATGTGGAAGTGTAACACACTAAGTGAATCTCTCTCATACCACAATCATATGAAGAATCTAACGAATATTAAAAGTGTGGGCTGCGTGTTCACTATCTACCTGGGCTGCGTGTTCAGAAAATTTGAAATTTGGTACGATATGCAACCAACTGATTCATGTATTCAATTTTGAATTTTGAAAATACGAATGCGGTTAGTATGATGTACCGAGCCTGGTGCATGTCAACAAATGCATGAATGCACGCATGCACAGCATCATAAGGTATGCTAATTTCAAAAATGCCCTAATCTACCATCATAAGCAGGTAAATAAAAGGGAAGAAAGAAATGGGGATTGGAAGACATACACACACTCACCCACACTTATTACATGTTTACCCTCACTCAGAGGGTTCGAATTAATATTACAGTCCCAAAATAATGAACAAATGAAAATATTACAAAAATTTCCTAATTAATTAAAAGAAAGGAAGCAATAGAAAGAAGAGGGTGGCCACAGCCTCTGCCTCGGGGTGCACAGATGATGCATGCTCGGAACTTGGCTCGCCCGAAAAACCCGTACCGTAACCCTGCCTCCTCTGTTTGTACTGCCTCGTCTTTCTGAAAAATGCCAAAGCACTGGAGCAAGTTCCCTGCATCCAGCAGAGCACCACCGGCCAGACAGAATTACCACCGGCACTTCTCAATTTCCATCGGCACTTTAACGGATTCATCGGCACTCCAGATAGTGCCGGTCGGCACTAAATTCTGCCGGTCGGCAGAAACTTCCCGCAGAAGACAATTTGACAGCAAACAGAGAACAGACAGTGCATGGCATGGAGTTCTTGGACACATGTAAGCATGGTCCTACTTCTTATCATATTTTGAACTCAAAGAAGCATGACCTTCGACCTTTGAGCCATCAATGGTGCATGATGACTCAAGGGATCAAATTTGCCACTTAATCACTACAACAAAAGTAATCTATAGTGACGAAAAGTAGTGAAGAAAATAAATTTCGTCACTAAATAAGAATAATCCGTGACGAATTATTTAATTTTGTCACGTATAATAAAAAATAAAAATAATAGGTGACGAAATTTGTTTTCGTCAACAAATACTTCTTTTTAGGTGAGGAAAAATTAAGTTTTGTCACCAAAGGTTTTTCCGCTAATTTTTTTTTGGTTGGCGCCAAAATTTGAGACTTTTGGTGAGAAATTTTTCTTGTCACCAATTATAAAATTATTAGCGAGGAATATATTTTCGTCACCAATAATTTTGTATATATATTTTTTGAGAAACTTAATTTTAAATATTTTAAGACCATTTGGTGAGAAATATATTTTTGTCACTAATAATCTTTAATATTTTGAGACTTTTTAGTGAAGAAATTATTTTGTCACCAATTTTGGAGGAAAAATTTTGACATATTGGGCGGTAATGGAAAAAATAGACAACTAACTTTTTTTCCCTTTTATTTTTGTTTATCTCTCTCTCTCTCTCTCTTTCAAAACAAAACATAAGTTAATTAACTCTCTAAACCTATGGTGACGAAAAGTAATGAAGAAAATATTTTGTCACTAAATAAGAATAATCCGTGACGAATTATAAAATTGTCACATATAATAAAAAGTAAAAATAATAGGTGACGAAATTTATTTTCGTCAATAAATACTTATTTTTAGGTGAGGAAAAATTAAATTTTGTCACCAAAGATTTTTCCTCTAATTTTTTTTGGATGGCACCAAAATTTTGAGACTTTTGTCACCAATTATAAAATTATTAGTGAGGAATATATTTTTGTCACCAATAATTTTAAATATTTTTAAAAAAAATTAATTTTAAATATTTTAAAACAATTTAAAGAGAAATATATTTTTATCGTCAATAATTTTAATATTTTAAAATTTTTAATGACAAAATTATTTAATCACCAACCAATCTTCGAGGGGAACTTTGAAATTTGGCGGTAATGAAAAAAAAGAATCCTACTAATTTTCCCCCACCCATTTTTTCCTTTTTATTTGGTGCTCTAGTTTTCCTCTAATCCCTCTCTTGCAAAACACACAAAGGTATGGCCTTTCTCTCTCTTTCTCTTGCAAAACACACAAAGGCATGGCCAATTCGTTTATTCACGATCTACAGGGTCAATGCCCCTTTACGATCTCCTATTCTTTGCCTATTCAAGTATGAGTATTTTTTCAATTCAATTATCTCTATGTAGATGCCCCTTTCGATCTATTCATTTTTGTTTACTTCTTCTTTTCTTTTTTTTCCAAATAAATATTCCCCATTTTATCCTCTTTTTTTTTTGTATATTAATTACATGGGTTGGTTTTTATTTTGCAGTATTAGGGCCTATCAATTCATTGTGTTTTTATGGTTGATAAATAATCGTGTTTGTTTTTATTTTTATTGTGAGTTATATAAACTTTTTTAGGATTTTATGCCTGTGATTTTTTTGTTGGCATCAAGGAGGATTAAAAATATCTCTTTCCCCATCATCCACGCATTACCACGTTTTGTTGTTGGGTCCGAACTTGCTTTGTCTCGTGGCTTAATTTAGGGTTTTAGGATATTATATGCATTTGTTTGTATAACCATATAAATCCTATATATCTACTAGGACAACCTTTAATTTGTTTGAATATGGTGATATATGAATACCTTGGTATCTCCCTCCTGTTTGAGTGAAATGAATGCGTGTGGTGATTGTATCGTTGGGATGATGCACAAAATTCATGCCAGAAATTATGTATGAATTGACATACTCTGCCAAAGGGTTTGCAAGTGCTTCCTTGAGTCTGTAATGAGTAAGGATTTGCAAACCCCAAAGGGTTGGTCTGGTGGTGAAGGCTTGGGGCCTGGGATGTGCTCTCTCCATGGTCTCAGGTTTGAGACCTCCTAGGCAAACAATCAAAGCCCCAACTTTAATTGGGCCCTGCTAGTGGATGATGGGATTGGTCCTCGGCAACAGTTCGTCCATTGGGGTTAGATACCAAGTTCAAAAAAAAAAAAAAAAAATGTAGGATTTGCATATCTGCATTTCCTTTGCATATAGGCATGAATGGGAAGTCATGTTCAGCTGTTAATTGAGAGAGGATTTTATTTAAGGATTCAGCCTAAACATAGGAGGCCACTTCTGAAGATGTTTTGCACTACTCCCAAACCTGTGAAAGTGCCCCGAAAATTGACCTAAATAATAATGATTATACTTGTTTCATCAGGAACCGAACATGTCCTTTTTTTCTTTCCTACCCCGATGCAATGTAAAATCCGCATCAAGGCTTTGTCGTCTTTAGCACCTATGTTTAGACAACCTTGATAGCTGGATCTGGAGATTTTGAATGCATTCATCTCCATTTCTATTTGGTTCATTTGTTGCAAGCTTCCCCCCACGTCATTTTTCTCTATGTATAAGAAATAATTCTTGAAACCTACTTACTTACTGAAGTATGTGGAAGCCCAGCCATGCTTTATGACATAAAATATTGTAGGTGTGAGGCTATATGTTTCAAGCTGAATATGCTGGATTAATAATCAGCAGAAGAGGACAAAAAACTAGAATTGAAGTTTTGGTGAAGAGATGCAGACTGGCAGATAAGAGCTAATGGGTGGGAACACATTGTTTGCTAAATCTATAAATTAAGAAGATGTGCCTTTATATATGTTAAGGCCCGTTTGGTAAGTCTATAAATTAAGATGATGTGCCTTTATATATGTTAAGGCCTGATCATGAATTTATAACACCATCAAGATCATAACCCCCATTAAGAAAATATGCCTTTATATATGTTAAGGCTTGATTATGAATTGATAACCCCATTAGGATTGTAAAATGAACCATTAAAATGGTTGCATGTTCCATTCTACTTATTCGTGGTAAGTTTTGTTTTGTGTAATAATTTGTAACTTTTGCACTCTCTGGTTCTATCAGAATGGTCAACCCAATAAGGTTAATTCATTCATGTCAACGATTAATGAAGTTTCCATGGCTTCATTTCAGCATTTATTCATCTTTCTTTCTGGTGAGAAGTTTTCCGTCTTATGTTAGGATGTAGAATTCTAGTGAAAACTCTGGTCTGTTGGTAGCAATGTTTCTCCACTAGGAAGTTATAAAAATTAACTGAGGATTTTTGGTGGATGTTTACCCCATACAGAGAATAGTCATGTGTACCACCAGTTTGCCCATGGTCGTTTTGAGCTGAGGTTGAGAGTGCAATAGGATTGGCTTCCCTTTGAAGCTGGATATCTGTTGTTATAATTTTCCTGTTGCATTTCCACTTCGTCTTGGTTGTACTTTCAATATTTGTGCAATTTCGGGACTATAATACAGCTTCCCTCAATGAAAGGATGAAATGCTTTATGTTTGTTAACTTGAAATATTATTTATTATTATTATTTGGCGATTACAATTATTGAATTTGAAATCACCTGTAAAACTTGCAGAGATTGACATGTTTTTGCATCTGCACAATAAATAGGGTCTGCTTATTACTTGAACTCTCATAGTTTCCTAAACAATCAAACTCATTATATGGGCCGATTTGAATAATAGAATTTTGAACTACCCAATAATAAATATGAATTGTCAAAAAATTATCTCATTGGCTCTTTTTTTTAGTTTTTAATCAAATTTAATATTCAATTCAAGATCTGCTTTGTCTTTTTTGTTTTGCTTATGTTAATGATGGTGGTGGTGGTGATCTTTGTTGATTAATCAAATTTAATATTTAATTCAAGATCTGCTTTGTCTTTTTTGTTTTGCTTGTGTCAATGGTGGTGGTGGAGGTGGTGGTGGTGATCTTTGTTGATTAAAATGACTGGTTTTTGTAGAATGTGTCAGGGATTTAAAATTTGCACATGAATTACTTAGAACACCTGACAACATGTAGATTTATGTATGTTTTTTGTATTTTATTTCATTTTTACATTTTGACGTGCTCGTATAATTTTTGTTCCCTTCAAAGATGGACGGGGAATCTCTTGACAGATCTTTGAGCTCTAGTCAGACAAATGTATATACTGCTGCTTTGTTCTATGCCTCATGGTGCCCTTTTTCAAGTGGTGTTCGATCCAGGTTTGTTGTACTCAGTTCAATGTTTCCTCAAATCAAACATGTAGTGGTTGAACAATCTTCTGCCATGCCAAGGTGGGTGTTGTAGTATGATCTTCTGTTTTATTATTATTTACTTGTTCAGATGGATTATATTATGTTTCAGTCATTATGTCTGCTGAGAATATAGATCAGAATGCTTGTATAGTGCACTGTCTGCCAGTTTCTGTATCTTAGGAGAAATTTGATCGTTTTTTGCATATTATAGCTAGTACACTTTACATTATAGACATGGCTCGGATGTGTCAAAAAAAATTATATATATATATATATATATATTCTAAAGAAAGAAACAATACTCATAATAATATTTTTGTTCAATAATAATTTGTGCTGGCTGATTTTCGGCATGTATCAGTTAGTATTGTTTGCAATCTTCTCAAATATGGTCTATAGTTTGCTATTCCTCTTCAGCTTGCAATTGCTTCCTCCAAAGCTTTCACATCATCTATACGTTTGACAAGAGCAATTTTATTTTTATTTTGTTGATATATGATATATGATATTCACAAAAAAATTTATCTGAAAATGAATTATATGATATACATTTAAATTTTGTATGATGTGAATCTTATCTAGAATGACTGTGATTTATAAATATATTTATTTGAATATTTTTAAGTATTTTTTTTTAATCTGTACTTATTTTATAGGTTTTTCTACTTAGGTTATTCAAAAAAATAAAATAAAAAATAGAATCGATTACTTAGGTTATGATTTGGATTGATTCCTTTGCTCCTGTGATCATCCTTGCTAGTTGGACTAGCCTCCTGATTCTTCTTGGATACCATGCTTGGCTATTTGAGGATCCTTGTAGATACCTGATGCTCTACTACTGCCATTATTTCTTGCCTTCGTTTTAGTTGGCTGTGGGCATCTTCTCTTTGAGTAGTTCCTCCTTGCAGGCTGTTTTGAGGTCTCCTTCTGTTAGCAAGTTCACAGACCCCAGCTCTCTTTGTTTATGTGGTCTCTGAACTTTTATTTATTTTCTTTTCATTTAGCCTTACCATATAACATACATAGGCAGGGTGATTGTAGCTAGATTGTAGTTAGAGATGACATGAGGTTCCACCATTGACATGAGGTTCCACCATTGACATGAGGTTCCACCATTTCCATGATGGGATGTGCTATTGTGGTAATTTTTAATGATTTGAAATGGACTATCTAATTATCTGAAATGTTATGCTGACTTACATTTGTTAGATTCATGCTAAAATTAGTTGTAACAGCTGTTTATGGAGACAAGATAGGCCTTAAGTTCTAAGTGGGAAGATATAAAATGGCAAAAGACATCTCAACATTGGGCCCATAGTTGCTTTCATTTGGATATGATATTCTCCAATTGTGATCTCTAGGATTGAATGCATCAGTCTGAATATCGCTCAAGTAATCATGCTATGCAATTCTATTAATCCTAATTCATTTAGGATAATTTGTAATATCTGTTACATAGTTCAACATTCACCCTGTGTAATTTGAGTAATGAATTGAGTTATTGGTAAAAGAAAAAAAATTAACAAGAATGTCGTAGTGAAGCATAACCCAAAACTTTGCCAAACTATTGTAAGCATTGATGATGTGTGATTTTTATCTTATTAATTGACATCTTTCCCTGTATAAATGCAGTGGAGAAATGGGGATTTGGTAAAACAGAGAATTACCAAGAATATCGCAATGAAACTGAACTTTTCATTTTGAATTTTACTGATGATAATTTTGGATCTTGAATGTTACTGAATTTTATTCATTAGTGCCTGTGCCAGGCACAAATGACAACTAAACAAAGGGATCCATAGTGCCATAGTTCAAGACTCATTCCGTATAGCCTCTAGTCTATATCTGCTCTGGTTATGGAAGATAGGGGGTAGTAGCATTCCTTTGTTCCAGATCGTAGTAATTTCATTTGTACTACTAGAAAACATGAATTCAGAGTAAGGTTAACAGGTTTTGGTTTTTGGTAGCAGTTTTTGGTTTTTGTTCACCACTAAGGTTTGACACTATTGGTATTTATCCATTTTCAACAGATAACCAAACATGAGCATTAATAGACTTCAATAAGGGGCTCTTATGTGAACTTTCCAACAAATATAATTGTAACCATGAGACAAAGTCACCTTCACTAGGCATATCTGTCTCCATAAACATGGTTAACAGGATCTATTCAGGTTTTACACCAAACAGGCCAAGAAGCTCTGTTACCAAATGAGAAGGCTGAGGCAGGTACGTTTGTGCTGAACTCGGCTTGTGAACTAAGTACTAATTGAAAATTTCAAACCGTGGATTAATCAATTCAATTATTTTTCTTGAAACCAAGCATATTTCCTCCACACAAAATCACAGTAATAAATAAATCAAGAATAAGAGACACAATGATTGATGTGGAAAACTCATGGGAATAATAATCCATCCCATGGGGTGAACAATCAGAATGATTTCTGCCCTTCAAAATCCACTAGATCAAGAATTTAATATAAAGATCCAAAGTAACAACTTATGACCCAACTCTGAATGCGTTAGCCTTGCCATCTTCACCTTCAAGCTTGCTAGCTCAAACCCCACTGGCAAGTTGCAAGTGACTCTGACTTCGCTGGTAGTCTTCTTTTGTCTAGATCTCCACTACTAGTGGCTCCATCTTAATTGGTCATATGGTAGGAATAACCAATGCGCAATGAGTGATGAAGTGTATATGTGGTTTTTTATCAAAACAGTTAAGAAGATTTCACAAATCAAAGTCCATCAACACAATATTCTTCTCTAAAAATATGCAGGCAAAGTCTTCTTTCTACGGATTCAAGGGCTCTAGGGAGGCTAGGGCTAAATTATAAATCTGTGTGTTTTTTGTGTGTATCAAATTAAAAAGCAAATAAATACCCTATTTATATTTTCCAGACCAGGTCGTGTAATGATTTTGAAATTTTCTGGCCCACTCAAGTGCACTTTGGGTGAAGCTCTCAGGATCTCTCTCTGCATTGTTGAATCATCGCCTGCCTTGCTCGAGCATGCATTGCCCAAACAATAAGTGTTTTCTTTAGTGGCATTTGATATATAGAGAAGAAAAAGGCTTTAAATTTAGTGTTTTTTTTTTTTTTCCCTCCCTTTGAAGATTATGAATTAATTAGTTGTTAATTATATACAATAAATTAGGACATGTTTTGGATGCTGATCATGGCAACATCTCCTGTTCAATGCCACTATTGATGCTTAGGGGCAGGTCTGAAGTCCGAACTTGTCATGCTATGTATAGCATGCACGGAGACCTCTCCTCAATTTTTTGTTTTTATTTATCTATCTATTTATTTAACTTGAAAGTTTTGATATCCTGATTTCATTAGTTTGTGCATGTGTTTTATTGAGTTTATGCCCTTTAAATCTCTCTTTCATTCTATATCTCTAACAATGCCCATAGTTTCGTACTTACCTAGTCTTTTATTTGGCAGAATGCTTGTAAGAATGGATGGTTTGCCGACAAGGATTCCGAAGAACTTCTTAGTCTTGCAGATGAGGTTTTGCAGTCTACTGAGTCTGCTTGACTTTTTTGTGCAATTCTTTTCCTACTTATATCTTATAAGTTTTCTTTCTGCATATTTAGATAGGGAGCAGCTTCTGCAGTGTAAGAGATATGAACACTGAAGCGAACAATTATCTCCAAACTATCTCAACAATTATGTCAAGGTAGAAACTTTTTTGTCCTCTGCCTCCCATCCCCTTCCTCTTTGGGTGTAAGTTATATTCTGTTGTACATATATCTTTTACTAATATGAGATTAATAGAATACTAATTTTCTTTTAGTTCAATTTTTCCATGCAATACTGTGTGTATCATAGTGGTTACTGAAATTACATGTTTTATTACAGTCTACCTACATTGATGGTTGGAAAAGTCTCTCATTGGCTTGGTTGTTTCAATCAGACATTTCTTCTTAATCTTCCTAGTTTTTTAAAAGCCAATTATAGGCAGAGTCTTGCGCAAGGCTGTATATGTACCAAAGTTGACTGCTATTATAGGGGATCAATTATCTTTCTTTGGTTATTTTTATCCATTGTATGAGCTAGGTCGGTGGAAGACAAGATGTATGCTGCATCTCCTGACTAGTTCACCTTTTTCTAGTTGCAAGGATGCAATATTTAACCATGTCATGTTCATGAAATATGAATATTTGTCTTCCAATGTTCCAAACACCAGCATGATAGGCCTAGTAATGTGAATCTCTTATTCCACTTCACCCCTTTTGGACCAGGGGTGCAACCTGTGTGATGGCAGGCCTCTTTTTCCCCCAAAATTGATGAGAAAAATTTGTAGTTGAGGCCATATTATTGGAAAGGCCAAGGGTATTGTGCAGACATACAAAATCATATACCTACCCAATCTAAAAAAACCAAGCTTCTGACCTGCATAGCCTATTTATGTCGGTATAAGCAAACTTAGTGTTCAATGACACTCGTCTTGTTTGAGTTCTGTGTCTCTTCTATAATATATTATTTTCCATAGTGGTCAAAAGTTGACCAATTGTCAGATCGAGTTTCTGTATTATGTTGTTATGCATTGTACAAAGACCAACTTATGTGAACTAAGGGAGGGGATAAATTTGTTGCATTTTATTTTATTTTTTTACTTTTTTACAAATAACATTTTATGATAGCCTTTGTTGGTGAGTGAGCAATTATTATGTTTATTTTGGCATTTTTCTTGGTCAGTTTCGTGACTGTTTATCAGGAAGTGTGATTAAAATGGTTCGAAAGCACGGACACTTCTAAGAAGGTGACGTATCCGTGTCATGTCCGTGTCGGACACCGACAGTCTTTGGACACTCTTAGGACACGTGTCCGACACCCTTCAAAACGTGTTCTATTTTTAATTTTTTTTTTAAAAATTCAGACACTCTTTGGACACTCGGATGACACAAGTGTAAATCGCTGAAACACACGTGTCTATCGATTAAACACATGTGAAACTAATTATAAATTTGAACAAAACAACTTAAGATACAATTATAAAAACAAAACCCATATAAATTTATAGGAATTAGTGTCATATTGCATTTTTTATTATCTTTGAATGATATATTTATGTATATAATATATAATAAATATATAAAATTATATATTTCATGCGTGTCCCCCATGTGTCGTGTCCTGCATTTTTTGAAAATTAATGTGTCGGCGTGTCCGTGTCGTATCCGTATCGTGTCACGTGTCCGTGCTTCTTAGGTTCGAAGTGATCGAGCTTACAACTAGGCGTCTAATTAAACCTGGTTTTGTAGCTTATTGAGTTTTCTTTTACACAATATGCTTTAAGAATATTTCCACATGGACAGATGTTAAATCGTTGGCCAATGATTAATTACATTCATTACTGAATTATATGCTTAGAATTGTCTCTCTGCGCGCAGATTCTATCCACGAATGAAAATGGGCCAGATACTTGCTTTTCTTGAAGTTAAGGTTGTTTTTCCTTTTCCTCTCATACCTAATTATTCATTTACTTTGAAGAACAGAAGTTGGTAATAATTCTGTTCTATATTGTAGCCTGGCTATGGGACATTTGCATATGATTTCCATATTTTGAAGAATGCAAAACCTTCTGCAGAAGATAAAGTGGTAAGTATTGTTTAAACCATTTTGGATAACACAAATAAAGTTCTATATGCTCAGGCAAAGTCTTTGTGATTTATGAGATATATTTGATTTCAGTGGAAATGTTTTACCAAGGTTCCTATATTTATAATCCTCTTTGCTCGACCTAATTTAATTGGGAAACATTCTGCTATGTGACAAACCCACCAAACTTGTGTCGCTGAAATGCATGCTACTACTTTCTCGAAATTATTTAAAATAAGGCCATCATGTAGCTGTCGTCCCATGTATTTGAGGTATTGGAAGGGCTGAGGGTTATAATGGATGTGGAACTAGCTTAAATCATGTGAAATGGCTGACATGCTTGACTGTTTGAAATTTTACTTCTGCACCAAACAGTGGCTCTATCTTTCAAGAAGTTATAAATATTCTCTTCTTAAGCTACTTCTTAATTAATATTATGTACCTTTCCTTGAAAGTCCACTCCATTTGACTTTTAGGATCACTGTCCAGCTTTCCTTCCACACCACTTTTTATTGCCTAGCTTAATTCATGGGACCATTTTTGTTAAACATAATTATCCAAGTTCAGTTTTCTTTTTCACCTGATTTGTAGCTTTTCTTCGTACTCGATGTATTAATGTAATTAATTTAATATATATGTCATAAGTCTTGCTTATGTTCCAAGAAGCAATCTGTAGATTGGAGCAATATTTGTTTTTTTCCAAGCAATCAGGGCTATCAAGAATTTTCTCAGTTTTTGTTTATTTATTTATTTTTCCTATGGCATTGTCATGAACACTGTTGTGCAAATAATCGGTATGATCAGATGGATTGAGACCATAATACCTGTCCATTGTGGGTGGTAAGGGGATCAGTAGGCTGTGGAGCCCTCTGGGAAGTGACAGGGATATATCAGTGTTTTCTGATTCAATTTTTTTGATTCCTCATCTTGTTATTTTTCCTATCTATTAAATGGTAAAAAATATTTATTGAAAGCACTCAGTGGGTTGCTTGCTTAGTTAGTTTGCCTTTGTTTTTCCTGCAGCGGTTATTTGTGGCTCAAACAGATAATATTGAGACATCTTCATGTATCACAACACCCCCACAAGTGAAGTATGACCTTTTTTCTCCCTTGTTTTTGGCTAAGTTGAATTATTACATTTTCATTCTGACCAGCTTTTTGTTGTTTAACTTCTGTAGCTTTCTGTTAAATGGAAAAGGAGTGGATAAAAGGACTAATGTGTTCATGGTTTGTGCTTGTTTAGTTTTGGGGAAGTTATTTTTTGTGACAACATTATGCACAATGAAGCAATCAATGTTAAAACAAAATAATACGTATAGCAGTGTGTATTATTTTCTAAATTTAGAAGGGAGCTGTTTTTAGGTTTTGTGCGTGGCCTTTTAATGCTAATGTTAAAAATAATAAGCTTATTATCTACATCCATTTTGGTCATTGCTGTCACAACTCACCAAGCTAATGGTCCAGTTTTCCATTTTTTGCATTGTAGGTTGTTGCTCTCTCTCTCTCTCTCTTCAAAATTCTCTCTCTCTCTCTTCAAAATTTTTTTAAATCCCATTAGGTGCGCAAGATATCGCGACAAAATGCATGCAAAATGC